TATCTGAGTGTTTGTATATGTTCAGAGAGAGAGAAAGCAACCGAGATGAAAAAGAGAGAGAAAATAAACCATTTTGAGAAACACAGATTTTAACTTCCTGATTGTAACTTACAAAATAATGGTACATTTTTACATAGTCTTAATGTTCTCAAGATTAAAACAAAATACAGCTTCTTTAGTGCTTGTATAAACTGACATTTATCTACAGATTAAAAAATTAAAATAATGAATACTTACATGCAGACAGTATATTGGTAATATTTTAAATTTTTATACTTTGATTATTTTTAGAAGCTACTACTGAGGAATCAGTTTGGCCTTTAATGTGTTTTTAGGTGAACTTACAAGTGAGCTCATAAATAAATATTTTCAGATATTCAAGAATTCATCAAAAATATGACTCATAGTTGATTGAAAAACATTAAAAATAGCCTATGGCTAAGTTAGAAATAAATCATTAGAAATCAAGTCAATATGAATCAAAATTAAAGTAAATAAGAATTCAATCTATAATTATAAATATGGATATTCTAAATCAAATATTAGTAATATTTCAAGTGGAGAGTCAATAAATGATTCTAGGTGACAAAGAAAGTTTTATGCTAAGAATATAATCATTGCTTAATATTAGGATACCTGTTAATGTAATGTCAGTAGTTCAAATAGAAAGATAATACTTTCTATTATTTTATTCTATGTTAAGGGCCCAAAATAGCATTCACCACTGAGAGGAAGACAATCTGTATGAAAAATAACAATGTGAATATACATTATAAAAAATAACAGATTAATAGGAAATATAGTTAGTTATAACATACTGGAGGTCTTTCCATTAAAATAATAATTAAGGATGCCCAGTATCACTATTTTAATTGTTTTATTTTATCTAGAGGTATATGATAAATATAGAACTTCATGAATATAAAATAAAAGCTGTGAATATTGGCAAGGTGGAGACAAGTCTAGATCTGAAATTGATAAAATTTTATATGTAGAATTTTTAAATTTTTATCTTATTTATTTTTATTAAATCATTTTTATTGTTTTTCTATTACAGTTGTCTCAGTTTTCTCCCTTTGCTCTTCTCTGTCCATTCTACTCCCTGTTCCCACAGTCAATCCCTACACCATTGTCCATGTCCATCAGTCATTCATACATATTTTGACTAGTCCCTTCCCCTTCTTTCTACAATTGTCCCCCTTCCCTCCCCTCTGGTTACTTCAAGTCTGTTCCAGGTTTCCATGCCTGTGGTTCTATTTTGTTCATTAATTTATTTTGTTCATAGATACCTCTTATAGGTGAGATCATGTGGTATTTTTCACTGACTGGCTCCTTTCACTTACTGTAATATTTTCCAGTTCCATCCATGCTGTTGTGAAAAGTAGGAGTTGCTTCTTTCTGCTGCATAGTATTCCTTTATGTAAATATATCACAGTTTTTTGATCCACGCATTTACTGATAGATTTTTAAGAGAAAACTAGGTGAAAATTTCTCTAAGTCAATGAATGCTCACTTCAGATCATGCATTAAATATGTAATATATATCATATATATTTAAGAATTAATAGTGGCTGCCATTTGCTTTTCATCCTCAAAGGAGTAAATCAGTTTGAATTTATAGAAGAAAAAGTTTTCATTCAAAATAGTAAGGAAATACAATTTGTCTAAGACTATTCTTATCCAAACATTTGAGTAGGTTACATAAAGAAAAATATAAACCATTTCTTAAAGATCATGAAGAGCCCTGGAGGGTGGCTCACTTTGTTGGAGCATCAATCTGTATAGCAAAACATTTGCAGGTTCAATTCCAGGTCAGGGCACATACCAGGGTTGTAGGTTCTATCCTGTCTGGACACATACAGGAGGCAACTGATCAATGTTTCTTTATCACATCTCTCTCTCTCTCTCCCCCTCCCTCCCTCCTTCCCCTCTAAAATCAATAAACATATTCTCACATGAAGATTAAATTAAAAAAAAAAGATTAAAAATAATATGAGGCTAATGATTATATAAAACATGGCCCTAAATAACCAAATGTTCATGTTTATATCAATTCAAACCCCATTTTAATTGTCAGAAAACATATTATATCATTCAAAAATTCACCTGGGAGCACATACAAAAATAAATAAGAAAAGTGTGAATAATGATAAGGGAGGAATAGTGAAGATAATAAAACCACACTGATTAACAGTGTGGTGTGGCAGAGCCCTAAAAGTTAAATCAGTGCTTGTAACAGTAATGGCATCTGCCAAAAACAGTTGCCCATTATGTGACAGGCAGAGCAGCAGGGAGCCAAGACATACACAAAGTATCACACCTGCTCTGTATAAATCAAGTGTCAGTGTACCCCCTTTGTACCTGGAAACTGTTGTGTGAGAAGTTAACTACTTTATTCTAAAAATATCACAATTAGTGTTTTACAAATGCATGATATAAAAAGATTGAAGATGCTTATCAGAGAAAGTGACTTTCGTAGTTTCTATTTTCTAAACCAGATTTCTAGACACCAGCTTATTGTTGTATCCTCTCTAAAGTAATATCAGATTATCCATTGTATGCTTACATTAAGACTATTGTTTTGTATTGGATGTTTTTAAAGCTAGCTTGAGTGGATTTTATTCCCTTATAGTCAAAGATTCCTTAACATACATACTAAAATCTAGTATCTTTATTTATATCCTCCAAAAACAAATAGCCCAATGTTAATGTTAAAGACAATATCACATCTGTAAGAAAATGACACGTGATTTATATAGTACATATTTACATTCATTGAAAAAAATTCAATAACAGCACTTAGTTTTATTTATTATTTTTAATTATTTTTTATTGTAGTTCAAGTACAGTTGTCTCCATTTTCTCCCCCCCACATCCCCCCACCTCAGCCATCCCCACCTCCCACCCTCGATCCTACCCCCCTTTGGTTTTGTCCATGTGTCCTTTGTACATGTCCCTGAAAACCCTTTCCCCTTTTCCCGGCATTCTCCCCTCCCACCTCCCATCTGGTTACTGTTAGTTTGTTCTTCATTTCACTGTCTCTGGTTATATTTTGCTTGCTTGTTTGTTTTGTTGATTAGGTTCCATTTATAGGTGAGATCATATGGTATTTGTCTTTCATAACCTGGCTTATCACATTTAGCATAATGCCCTCCAGATCCATCTATGCTGTTGCAAAGGGTAGGAGCTCCTTCTTTCTTTCTGCTGCATAGTATTCCATTGTATAAATGTACCATACTTTTTGATCCATTCATTTACTGATGGGCACTTAGTTTGTTTCCAGTACTTGTCTATTCTAAATTGTGCTACTATGAACACTGGGGTGCATAGATTCTTTTGAATTGGTGTTTCAAGGTTCTTAGGGTGTACATCAATAATATCCTTAATAACAAAAATCCATAGCTCACAGCAAAGAACTTATATATATTTTAGAGAAGGATTAAACAAATCTTAAAATAATTTTAAAAAACTATAGATGAGTAGTATTTAAATTTGAAAAAGAGAAGCAAACAGAAACAAATGTAAATGAATTACTAAAAATTTGAGTGTTTTACATATATCATACATGGAATTTATTACCAAACAACTAACAAAAAAATGCTTGCTAATCTATGACCATTAGCTGAAATGTTATTAAACAGAAAGTTCCTACAAAAGTTAATTTAAAAATGCATAAAACATGTAACAAAATAAAGAACATACAAACTAATAATTTACATAAAAGTAGATAATAAAAATGTTAAAAATCCAATAATAATAAAAATCAATGAAATTTACTATTTTCATCTATTACTGTAGTAACTTTATTAAACATTTTAATTTTTTGTCAGTCATTATCAGATATTTTATGTGCATATAATTTGGCATAAACTTTTGACAATAAAATGTGTAAAAATATTTTATATCTACATCTAGAAATTCCACTTTTAGAAATACATTATAAGAAAACAAACTTATACTTAGACAAAGTAAAAGTATAAAAATAATCATATCACACAGTGTATAGAAAATAAATATTTCAAAGGACATTAAAAGTAAATGAAGTTTAGCCCTGGCTTAGTGGCTTAGTTGGTTGGAACCCTGCCCTGTACACCAAAAGCCAGCAGGTTCCATCACTGGTTGAGGTGTGAACGGGGCAACCAATGCATGCTTCTCTCTCTCCTTCTCTCCCTATTTCTCTGTCTCTCTCCCTCTCCCTTCTCCCGTCCTGCTTCCTCTCTTTCTAAAATCAATAAACATACCCTTGGGTGAGGAGTTAAAAAAAGTAAGTAAAATATGAATAATATATGTTATAATGCTTGATAGAATATTACAAAATCAAAAATAATATTTAGGACATTTTTTACTGTGACTAGTGAAGGTTGTCCTGAAAACAGAAACCGAACTGACTGTCCAAAATTAAGGAAATTTTATAAAAGTTAAGTTGAGTTTTTTTTAACAAAGTTGAGTTACAAAAAGATTAAGAAGTGTTATTTCTTCATTAAAAATCTTTTTATGTTTCTCTATACTTAAACTTTGTTTTTCAATGAGTATAATTTACCTTTTTGATAAAATGAGAAGACAAGCATACTTTTAAAGGAATTTTATTGAGCATTAACTCAACAACAGTATGATAATGACTTCAGCCTGGTATTTGTGGAGGATGGGCAGTTAGGAGTTTGGTACAAAAACTTTCTCTTTTTTCCTGTTTTTACTGAAATGTATTTTGTAACACTGGTTAACAAAATTTTACAGGTTTCAGGTGCACAATTCCACAATACATCATCTGTACACTGTATTGTGTGTTCACCACCGCAAGTTAAGTCTCTGTACAAAAATAGCCTTGATCAAAAAAAATCAACTTTTAGTAAAAGATAGAAAATTGTACTTCAACAACAATTAAAATAAAATTTAAAAAATTTTAAGTAGAAACAAAAAGTTGTGGGGCGGGGGGCTGGGTGGGTGGGCTGTGATGGGAGTAAAAGATAGAAAATTGTACTTCAACAACAAAATAAAATTAAAAAAATAAGTAGAAAAAAATCACTTTTTAAAGTAATAAATTCTTTAGTAAAAAAGTAGAGGCCTTAATGCTTTCATTTTTTTTCCTGGAAAAAGTAGAAAAATAATATTACTATTAGTAACTGGAAGTAAGATATAAATAGAGCTAATCTTCACTGTGAGATATATCTTCACAAAAGGGCTATGTATATGGCAATCGTGCTCAAATGGGAATATGTGTACTAAGTAAGACCTGACTGCCTTAGCTTGGATTCTTCAGTAGTCAGTTACACTGCTGTACTAGCTGGCCTCCTCACAGAGTAGGGATGTGACTCAGTAAAACTGCCTTCTTGGAAAGGAAGCCAAACACTAGCTGTATAAAACCTGTCAAATTATTTTCTTTTGTGTATACATCAGATCTAAATAGTTTCTACTCACTGAGAAGGTTTTTGAGAGAAATATAGAGTGAAGGGTTTTCTATCTGGACTTTTAATTTCTTATGCAATCATCATATTGTGGTCAAAGGCAAACAGAACCAGGGTTTTCCCTGGGGCCATTAAAAAAGGCAGATAAGGAGAACTTTAGTGATGTGTGCACAGCACCACTCTGTCCCTGTCCTCCATTCTATCTGGGCCATATGTATAATCTCTGAGCAGGAAGCACCCAAATCCACTTCTTGTATACATTTACCTGAGAAGTTTCATAATAGCTTTAATTGCCAGGGAAGAGGTAAAAATACCGTGTCATGGACACTCTTTCAATGGTGGGCATCTGAGCCAGCACACTTGGTTTCTCAAATGAACGTTGAACCTAAATTAGTAAAGAAATCCTTTAGAGATTTTTCTAAACAGGAAATCTGAACTTCTCACTTGGAAACAAGAAAATTTATTGTATATATGAAGGCTGTTGCCAGATAATACAAACAGAAGAAATATTTAGCTTTTCCTTCGATATAGTGGGAACTAGTACAAACACAAACATTTGCTGAATGAGCAATTCAGGAAATCAGGATTGGAGAAACACTGATTCTGTGCAGTATTTCATAAAACTTCTTCTTTAAATAAACCTGGGTTACAGGAAGGAGCATCAAGAAGACCTAAAGCTTCAGGACTATAAAAATGTTTTGCAAATCTTTCTACAAAGTTTTCTGGGGCATAGATTAAAAGGACAAGGAGATCCTTACCTTTCGAAAAATCTCCTCCAAATGATGACACCAAGAATATTCTTTGAAGTATTGGATAACTTGGTAAATGAAGAGAGAGCCATTTGTATCCATCCTCCAAGAACTATTATCTGCAAATCAAAAGTATAAAAATATTCAGGGAAGTGGCTTTTGTTTAAGTGTGGAAGATACCTAGAGCCATAGCTTTTGGTTAAAGTTTGATTTTGATGCTTTTGGGGGAGAAAGAGAGGTCAAATCTAGATAGAGCTGGGACTACAGGTTTACAGAACAGCCCTAAGAAAACTATCTTGGACCCTCAATTATTATCCCCTTGACTTTCTTACTATCAGGGCCAAAGTTGTGACTCTTAGGATTGCTAGTAGTATAAAAGACTATGTTTTTTCAAAACTTACCATATATATATATATATTATTTATTTATTTATTTATTTATTTATATTTATATATATATAAATTCAGCTCTTGACATTCTTTGATTCTAGATCTTCTCTTCATCCATAATGTTTCCTAGTATAATTTTTTACCCTTACTGTTTTGTTATATGAATAACTTTTGAGTTACTACTTCTTACCATTGCAATGTGATCAAATCTCCACTGTCATAAAAAAGCAAATATTCTAATTATCAGTTTATCTGCAGCTACCATCCTATTTTTCCTCCCTTTTAATAGTTCAATTTCTCAAAATATTCTATTCACCAACTTCATTTTCTCCTCACCTGCTCACACCCGTCAAGCTTCTCCCTCCCACACTATATTTACCAAATGACTTTCTGTAAGGTTATCCCTGTTCTCCAAGTCATTAAATCTGATGGTAATTTATTGGGCCTTACTTTACCTGATTTGTTGTTCACATTAGAAACTGCTTTATCTCTAGAAGATTCTTTCTAGGTAACTCTGGCAACGCATGCTCTGACCATGTCTTCTGAGTCTATTTTGATGATTAAATCAAACCTCTATCTCTAGTCTTGAACTCCAGACATCTGCAAGCCTCACATACTGTAGGATCTCTTCTCACTCTGTTCTCCATTTCTAGATAATGTTACCTATTTTTAGAATATTAAATATCATCTTTAAGTGAGCATTTCCAAAAACTCTGACACAGATCTCTCCTCTGAAAAATACAACTGTGTAATTCTTTACTCTTCATTTCACCTTAAAATATGCCAAAGGAATCTTATTTTAAGGAATACATCACAGTCATCTATTTTTTTTTTAAAGATTTTATTTATTTATTTTTAGAGAGGGAAGGGAGGGAGATAGAGAGAGAGAGAGAAACATCAATGTGCGGTTGCTGGGGGTTCTGGCCTGCAACCCAGGAATGTACCCTGGCTGGGAATCGAACCTGGGACACTTTGGTTCCCAGCCCGCGCTCAATCCACTGAGCTATGCCAGCCAGGGTACAGTCATCTATTTGTAAACTTGAATAACCTCTATTATCTCTTCTTATTTACCTGCTATAACCACTAAACAACTAAGTTATATTAATTTTTATCTACTAGTTATTTCTTGGATCCAACAACTCACTGCCTTCCAAGACTATCATTATCACCTGTAGCTTGTAACACTGTCATAGCATTTAAACCTGTTTCCTTATGTTTAGTCTTACCAGACTATAATTCATTCCCCACAGAATCCTGAAAGTGATCACTTAGAAATAAAAATATAATTTCCTTGCTTAAATTGCATCAAAATTTCCTATTATTATTAGTGTACAATAATATTAGTAATACAGTACACTAGTATAAAAGACCAAATCCTTCCCTAAGATGAGACCTCAAATTGCATGACTCCTGCCTACCTCTTCAATCTTTTCCTTGGTTGCTCTCCCATGGCTCCATGCTCCAGCCTTACTGGTCCTGTGTTCCTGGCTCCTTTCTTTCTCAGGTCCTCTGTGTACACTGCTTTTTCTGTCTAGAATGTTCCTCTCTTGACCCTGACATGGTTAACTCCTTCATTTTTCAAATGTGGGCACATTTTCTTCTTTAAAACCCTTATCATAGTTGGAGATCATTATTTATTTCTGTTATGTCATATGGATATTGTCCCACCCCCAATTAATTTCTGACCCTCTGGCTTGAGCATACACTCTGTGAGGTACAGTAACCATGTCTGCTATAGTTGTGTATTATGTGTCCTGCCCCCAGCCCAGTGCTAGCACATAGTCGTATTTATTAGAAAGGAATGCAGGAAATTTATATATTAGGCTTTATTCCCTTAACTAAATTAAACAACCTATTAGAGTATGTGACTTTAATGTGTAACTCTTCTTTTAAGTATATAGTTTCCAAAATATAAAATACACTGAAGTAGAACTATTCCAGATGTGCAGGGGCCTGCATGGCCCACTTTCCTATTTCTCCAGGCTAGACTCACAGGATCCTCTCGTTTCTTGCTACTCACTTTTGGTCATGGACCAACAGCACTGGCATCACCATGGAGAGTTTCTGAAAGGTAGAATCTCAGGCCCTGCCCCAGATCTGCTGAATCAGAAATCTACATTTTAATGAGACTCCAAGGAATTCCTATGCACATTAAAGTTTGCAATTGCTACACTAGAGCACTTAAAGCTGTGACTTGTGTAAACTCAGTTTTAAAAATTGCTCTTATTACCTAAATGATTACTGAAACAATATTGTGGATGGCTGTTAAACAGATTTTCTACAGAAGATACAATGAACAATCAAGAATGGCTTTTGTTTTTACCTTTTACTCTTCTATGACTTTTCTACCAAGAAGAATTTTTAATCATTGACTAGATTATTCTGAAGGCAGGCAGTTGAATGTTAACTAATTTCCTAAAAGACTATATTTAAATAAGAAGCCAATATGTTCTAGGATGTGTGGAACAAGTATTACTTTTCTTGGCTCAGTTAATTGCTAGTACAGGATCAGGTGGACCAAACCATAAGAATATGATACATTTCTGTGTGTGGGTATATTTAAAGAGGAAAAAAGAAACCTCTTTATTTATAGTAAGAGTATTTTAAGTCTGGATCCTTACTGAACTCCTGTTTAGTTTGAACGTTTCCTCCAAAGCAGACTTAACTGTTTACTTATGAAAAAAAATTAATATTTTAAATGTATTTACCACAGAAAATGTCTCATTAGAGAGGAAATGTTCTTATATTAGTGATAAGATATGATCATAGCCTAGCCTGTAGTCTAGAAACTAATTGATTAAGAAACTATTCTTTCTGAAGCCACTTACGTGGAGTTGAAGATTTGAAGGCAATGAAGTCCTTCTCCACATGGGTCTTTGTAACCGCATCACTCCAGATGTAACACTGAAAGGTATGGTCATATCTACATGCAGGGGCTCTTCCCATGTCAGTCACCCAAACGGTCCCATCACCTCCTGAGAGAGAGACATCCATGTCATATGAAAGGTGTTATATTTAAACACATACACAGACCCACAAAATCTTTTTTTACCATTATACCATCACTTCAGTACATTTTAATATATCATTTATTAAAAATGAAAGTATCTTACTACTAGAAAAACTGCCTCACTGACTGTGAACCATACAGAGCCCACTTAAATTTAGAATAAATTTGTTGACCTTCTGGTTGCAAGTAATCAAGGCATTCTTAATTATTCTAGGCTGCTTATCATTTCTTTAGGAATGGTACAGAGTTAATTTTTGGTGTGGGACTGAGTAGTACTAAAATAATGTTTTTCTCACTCTTCTCTAGGAAAAAGAAGGCTAGATATCAGGCTAATAGAAGAAAGAAAGTGTAAGGCCACTCCCTGGGTTTCCCAACTCAGACTCACTGCCTCTGCATGCTTGCATGATGATGACTTTGGGTTTGTCTCTTAGACTCTGGCAGTTACGGTTGTTGAAAATCTGGAAGATTGTATCATCGTGAAGTATATCTGGCTCTTGTTCTGAGTGCTTTATCCCACAGATTCCTTCCAGGACACCGTGAGACATAAACACCAAGAATGTACTGTCCGCTGATTGGTGTTCTTTCCGGGCAGCAAACTGTAAGAGCTCTGTTTCCATTTCCTAAAAGAAACTCCAGAATTATTATGAAGACACTCTCCATATATAGCTTGTACTCAAACAGTACAATAGATGAAGTAAACAAAAAAGGTGCAGGCACCAAGGAATCAGGTGATTTGAACTTAAGAAGATGCTAGGGAATGAAATATGATGAGGGGGCAAGCGACATGACAACTCTTCAGTAGGAAGACTTAGCTTTCATCTGTTCTGTTTGTTCGAGTTCGTATAAGTTTTCATTCCAAAAGACAGACAGTTTTCTACTGACAAAAACTATAAACACTTAACAATTTTCTTTAAAATGGAACAGCAGAAAGTTATGTTTAAAGTGGTTTGTCTAAAGTCACCCAAAATATATTAGGGAGAGCCCAAATCATAACTTTGTGTGTATATTTTTTTACTACATACATGGTTTCACATTTATACACATGGTATGAAAATGATCAAAGTCTCAAGAGCTCATAATGTAGGTATCAGGCAATTTAAGGGCCCAGGTCCTCCATCTCACCCATACTATCAAATAATAGATGTCACTCAGACTGAGGCCTTTAGAAAGATGCAACATTTTTAGTGAAATATTAGTACATAAAGGCGCTCTAAAACTATAATGTGAGACTGGGCATTGAGGAGGCTGAAATCCAGGGGATCTTATTCTAGGGCAAATATAATCCCAACAATACATATTTTGTTCTTATAGCTGTTAAGGAAAAAAGTTCAAGACTGTTTAGGGTTGTAGGAAGCTTGTCCCATTCTCCTGGGTCATTACCAGAGCTGTAAGATTCACTTTTACAACCACTGAGTATCCAAGGTTTTCAAGTAGGTCTTGCATCCCCAAAAGATCAACTTCAGAACCATATCGGTTATGAAGATAATCAAACTCTTTGTTGCAGATGATGAGGGCCAGTCGTGTTCTGCCCTCCTTCTCCATTACTGGGTATATCTGCAATTAACAGATACAGAGTTAGTTGCCCCAGGCCTCCGCCCTTTTGCATAAAGTCCATACAAAACAAGCCTTTAAAGTTATAGAGTGGAAGGTCAGAGAGCTTGGGAATGGAACTATGTCCTCAAGAAAAAAGAGACAGAACCATGACTGAAAACATGTAGTGGCAACTTGGCTTTGGTTGGGTGGTAGATAGGAGTTCAGAGTGTGTTCCAGGATGAGGTGGAAGAAACAGGAAATGTAATGTAAGGATCACTTAATTAGATAGCATTCTACACCGTTTGTGGTAGAATCTGACGCCCTTTATAACAAGAACTAAAATTCCCAGTATGTCCCCAGTATCTTTTTTGAGTGGGCAAATTTATGTGTCTCCCTATTCCAAAGCAAAATACCTCATCTGCCTTTGTTGTCTTTAGTCTATGGAGAAGATCAGGAGGACAAAGCTTTAACTTATGATTGGGTTGGGAAGCCTGGGTTTCCAGGGGAGCTAAAAGAAAAAGAAAAAGAAAACCTCACTAAGCAGTAATATCCACTGCTTTGCAATCACACAGCCCTTTTGAATGTATTCCCATTCTTTGGAAATGCTTACTGCCATCCCACCAAAATATTTTATATTTAAAATGTCTACAACCAAAGTTTGAATATTTCTCTTTTTTTCTTTCTTCCTATTACTGAACCCACTATATATTTCTGCTTTTGTTAGTGGTCACGGCATTAACTGATCTTTCAAAGCCAACACATTAAACTCACATAAACACAGTATCTAAGATTTAGAAGGAATCCTAATGTTCATTTAGCCTAGTCAAGTCACTATTCAGATATTTGAACTCAACTTTCAATATCCCTAGTTTATTATTACCACTCTCTGAAATAATCTCCACTAACAGGGAACTTAAAACAGTCTAAAGCATTTTCGAACCATTTTGAAAGACCTTCTAACTCCCAGTATGTATTTCCCACGCTGGGACCATTAAAAAAAAAGATCTAATCCCCCTCCCTGTGAAAGCTCATGAATTCCTCTATGATGTCAATATGTCCCCATTATTTTATATACATGCCTCATATGAACAATTATTGTATTTTATCTTAATAGTGTTTATTATACTATAAGCTTAATTAAGACAGGGAAGGCATCTTTAATCTTTGTATTTCCAGAACCTGGCATAGTATCTGGCACAGATTAATGTTATCTCTCACAGTTTATAACTGCTTGTCAATGAACAGTTGCCTTCAACTTGACAATAGGTATCAAGTATCTCCTGATTCTTTGTTTTTTCTTAGGGCAACAAGCCTCTGTTCTTTTTAATGTTTTTTTTTTTTTTTGCATGAAAGTATTTAATCTTTTAACCAACAAACCCATCAGTTTACCTACATCTCTACCCACCTACTCTATTTTTCCTCCTACTACAAAGACAGACATGATCTTCCTCCTATGTGAGAGTGATACCTCCTCTACTTATGCTCTGAATTCCATTTTCTCTCTCACCCTCAAGGACTTTACTCAAGTAGTCATTTAGTTGTGCCTTCCACTTCATCAGTTTCTCTCACTCTTCCAACTGTGGTATCCCCATTGACATATCAGCCTGCCTTCATATCAGGGTACCTTTTAAAAACACCTTTGCCTAGACCCTGTTTTTTCTCCAGCTGAGGAATTGTGCTGAGGAGTGGGGCAGAGTCTCTGCTGACTTCCCAGCCTAATTCCTTAAAAGCTTTGTCTATTTTCCCTATTTTAATTTTTTTTTCAACTCATTTTTTCTTCTGGATACAATATAGACTGGCTCTTATCCTAATCAATTAAGTGAGGTACTTCTTATCAAGTTTACCAATTTTTTATTTCACATTTAACATGGTTGAACACATCTTGTTTCTTGAAAAAAAAATGTTTTCTAGGCTTCTGTGATGCTGCATTTTCCAATCATTCTTTCTAAATTTGTCTTCAGTATGGCTCTTCCTCTTCTTCCAGACATCCAAAAGTTGGGTTGTTCTACGTGGGGACCTTCATTATTCTCTAATTGTATTTCTCCCCAGGGCCTCTTTCAGTTGCATCATCTTAAATCTATTTATATGCTGATGAGTCCAAACATTTATTTCCATCCCTGATTCCTCTTGTAACTCCTCAGTAGAACATCCACCTGTTTATACAACATGTACCCTTGTATGTGGAACATATTTCAAATTAAACATGTAAAAAGGGCTCCTGATATTTGTCCACAGCTTCAGATCTGTTTCTCCTGACTTTACTATCAGTCACAAGTTTTCTGTATCTCAGTATCTAGTTGCCAAACCAAAAAATCCTAGAATCACTGTCAACTCCCTCATTTCTTTTATTAACGCACACCCAATCCACCTGTATTTCTGTTGATCTTACCTCCCATATAGATCCCAAATTTAACTCCTTGTCATCATCTCTATTACTACAACTCTAATCTAAAAGCTATTATCTCAACTGAAACATACAAGCAGCTTTTAACTAGCCTTTTTGACTCTATGCTTGTTTATCTCTCCTCCATTTAAAAATTTCTAAAAGGTTTCCTACTGCAAATTAAATTCAAAATCTTCCCCACTTTCTGAAAATCCCAAAATTGTGAAGCAATGACTGTCTGACTCTTTAGCTGCTCCTCCTACCACGTTCCCCCTGATTTCCAGGTCTCCAGCCAGGCTGGCCTTTTCCATGACCAGATCATTCCAGACTCAGAGCTTTTTTTCTTGCTCTTGTTTCCGCTTTCCATGGAATGCTTTTGATTTGAATTTTGTCACAACTCCCTCGTTATTGTTCAAGTATGTACTGAAATATCATCTCAAAGGAGTTCTCAAAACTATCCACTCTGGCTCATGTACCCTTCTCTTATCCCAACAACAGCATCTCTTCCTATGACCTAATCCTCTTTTCTCTTGTATGCCCCCTGAAATTGCACTATTGATTTTTTGCATGTTTCTTATATATCCACCCTCACTACAGTGCAAACTCCATGTAAGCAGGATCTTTGAATTGCATTTTGCTATAAACCCAATAATTAGAATAGCATATAGTAGGTTTTCAATTAATGTATGCACATATATAATATGTAAATATATATATATAAATGAGTAAAGATTACAAAGTTTTTATTCTCTCATAAAGAAACTTTGAAGATATGACTCTCAGAAGACAACACTGTCACAACTCTGTGTCTAGACACTATTATTCTTTAAAGTGGCCATACATGTCATCAGGTTCTTTGGTGACCATATAGTATATATGATTCATACTGGTTTTTAATGAACTTTTCTTAATCACACCCTTATTTGGTTTTGTGAAGTTGGTAGTTGCTCATATCATAGATGTTTTATAGATCCTTTTAAAGATATTATTAATCCCATTTAAAAATATGAACCTGAGACAAGCTGAGGTATATATACACACACCAGAGAACATGGTTAGACAATGGCAGATGAGCTTAATGTATAGATTTCTTGTGTTTTACCCCATTTCTCTTTCCATTACACCACAGAGACTTTCTTACATGCCTTAATTTAAATAATGTTATTATGTGTCCATGATATTACCGGTCAGAGGTAGAACCAATGCCTGGCACAATCCAGCATGCTTCCCAGGTTTAGCATCTTCATTTTCACTCCCAGATTCTTAAGAGAATTAAAGACCAGGGATGTATGTGTTAATTTTACTTTTGTTAGGGGCAGAAACTTTGTTAGGGCCAGAAGGAAAATACCTGATTTGTTAAACTTAAATGTTGTGGTCTTTTCAGGACAGACAACATAGGGTCCCTGTATAGCTGCCTTCTCCCAAGTGATGTATGAGGGTTCCCATGAGTCATTGGGTTTTGATGGCATTTACCTGTTGGAGGGACAGCCAATGCCTGCAGTGATCCAGCTTTTTGCTCATCTTCATTTTCTTCATTTTCATTTTCAGATTCTGAGTTGGAATGAACAAGAAGTTAAGCATCAGTGCTCTACTTCAAAAGTTATTTCTAAAGATAAACATTGACTGAGAACATGCATGTCCTAGATCTTTACTAGAATACATTCTGACAACACTAGAAGTCCAAGAGTTTCCAACTATGATGTGAGTTTGAGGGCAGGTACCTGTCAAGGAAGAAGATTCACTGTTCTCAGGCTCATCATCCTCATTTTCAGGATGAGCTGAAATAAAATAAAATAAAAATTTGTTAGCAGAATAAGTTTCTCACACCTATACACTTCAAACTCTTTCCCTTGCACTGATAAGGAAATGACTATGTTCACTATAGGGCTACCTTATGAAGCCTGGAAGTTTGGCTCATTCCCCAAACTCCAGGTTTGTTTGTTTGTTTGTTTTTAGAGAATTATAATATTCTGTCAAATGAAAGAGGAGGCAGACTTTCTGAGAAACAGGGAAGAGTTCATTATCTTTCTGTTTATATACTACAAGGAATACATTCTTTCATCAAGGCTTTTCTGTAAAAGCATTTTTTATTCTGAGGAGCAAAATCACACGCCTTTATGAAAGTTAGTCTTTTGTTGTCTTTCAACAACAAAAATGTAATACTGGAGGGATATTTCAAGGATTTGGAATATACCAATGTATATATTTTACTCTAAAGTAGGGATCAGCAAACTATAGCTTGAAGGCTCAACTCAGCATAAGACCTATTGTAAATAAAGGTTTATTGGAACACATTCACACTCATTTTATAATTACTATACAATATGTTGCAGATGTCATGCTACAACAGAAAATCTGAGTCATTGTGACAGAGATCATATGGTCCACGATGTTTAAAATCTATCTATCCTTTCAAAGCAAAAGCAAGGCCAACCCATGCTCTAGAGAGAAAGATACATTTATGTTCTAGCCTCAAATTACCTACAGTCCTCCTTTAACAAGGAGAAATATAGGTTCTTAGAGATTTAATCCTTGGGATAAGCCATTGCTAAGCAGAAGATGATAGATTTTTTTTTGTATTGAATATTATATGTTTGGGAATGACTCTAATGTCCAAAGTGTATGGGCAGGGTATCCCAGATTAGATAAAAATTGTAATTAAATGTTATACAACTCCAGTACCATTGATTCATTTAACAAATATTTACTCAGCACCTGTCAGGGGCCATTTCTATGAGTTTGAGATATATTCCTGAACCAAGCAAAGATATGTATCTCATGGAATTTACATTTTAGTGGGTAGACATATAATGAATAAGTAAATGCTATAGAATGCTTGAAGATGACAATTGCTAAAAAAATTAAAAAAGGAAAATGTGCATCATTGTAAAGTGATTGGGGATGTTGCAACAGGGATGAAAGTATATCATGGCATTTTGAAGTATCAAATGAGAAAGTCAGGCAATGATTTTAGAGATGTAGATAGTTTGTTCTCCACATGCAATCAGAAATAAGAAGACAATGGGTGTAAATATAGTAAATGAAAAACAAGTTACTAGCCCTTTGGCCTGAGCTACTTACTTAATCTCAGCTGTTTCTTGGTGTTGAAGAGCCGGTCCACAAATATTTTGCCTGCCATTTCAGTTTTCTCAGTGACATCATCAACTAGGCTTTCAGTCCTGTTCACGATGAGTTTCACTCCTTCTCCTAATCTTCGTAACTCATCTCCATTTAACACATTCTTTTCCATCAAATCATCAAAAATGCCATCAAGGAAGTTCTTTGCAAGTGACTTCACCATGTTGATAGGATCTTCTTGAGATAGCTTGTCTGTGAGGAAGGTAGGATTTTAGATGTAGACAGGACCTTCAATATTTGGTTCTAGGCCAGTGGTTCTCAAATTTCAATGTACCAAAAATAAAGCTTGATAATCACAACTCTCTGTACCCCATTCATAAAGATTCTAATTTGATAGGACCTGGCCGAGTAGCTCAGTTGGTTAGAGTGTCCTCCTGATACACCAAGTTGTGGGTTCAACAGTCAGGGCATATGCAAGGAGCAACAATGAGTGTGTAAATGGAACAACAAATGATCTATCTATCTATCATCTGTCTATCTATCTATCATCTATCTATCATCTGTCATTTATCTATCTAAAAAAATTAATCTGATAGATCAGGGTGGAGCTATCAAATTTTCATTTCATTTTACTTCATTTCCTTGAATTTTCCATGAACCCAACAATTCCTGAGATGATGCTGAAGACAACGTTTAAAGTAACACCTACCGGTATCTTGTTCAAGCCTGTGCCTTTTTATAGATGGTGAAACTGAGTTTCAGAGACTTGAAGCAATTTCACTAAGGAGGTTAATGATGGCCGACTTCGTTCAGTCTTTGTATTGACCATCATCTATTCACTTCCTGTCACATTTATCAATGCTTAATTTAAAAACACATTATATTCCATATGTATACCAGTAAAGCATGAACAAATTACAGCTCTAAAAGAATGCATTTTATTTTCATGTGCAGGGCTGAGGGCAACTCTTCAGAGATTGAGAGAGCAAACCATAGCTGGTATGCTTGATGCTGCAAATGAAAGGTCACAGAGAGAACAGAAACATGGAGAAAATGAAAGTCACTCTGTTCCACAGCAAGGCCTTTCACCCGAACAAGAGGACACTCAAAATTGGTGAGAACTCTGGGTGAGTATGACCACACAAAAAAGCCTAAAATCACAGGAAAGTTTTAAGAACATAGGTACAGATTTTTTACACTTTCCCTTCTTTGTAAGAAGCTGTGACTTATTAACTAAAATAGTTTGTGTTATCATAGTCATTACTGTGGCCCAAACTCCTATCATCCACATCCCAGAGCAAAATAGTTTTGCCTGGTTAGTGCCCCCCTCATGGATCTTTTTCTCTCCCTGACCCCATCCTCCAGAGCTGCAACCCCCCACTCCAAAAAAAAGCAGCCATAAACAATGGAAAAAAAAACATAGCTACTCACCAGCCATTGCTGCTTGGGCTCCCTGGACAGGAAAAGCAGTGAAAATGAAAGCAACCTTCTTCCTTCTTTCAGTGGACTCCTGTGTTCACATTGCCTAAATGGGAAACTGCAGCTTCTCAAATTCTATTCTCTGCTAAGATAGAATTTGACTCCTCAGATTTATAGCTTCTTTTCTTTGGAAAACAGCAAAACCTGTCTTCTCACTTTGATATAACAAAGTCTGCAGAATGAAATACACACACATAAAGTTTTTGTTCTGTTTTCCAATCTATTTTTACCACACTTAATAAATCAAATTGACCCTTATTTGTCTGTGTGCCACCCCTTAGCCACTAAATTGGAGGGAGGACCATTCAACCCTGGAGGGGAAGTATTAATGTGGTAAGCTTAAGGGGAGCAAGAAACCAACTGAAAATTGCTGAATTTAGTAAGTGTATCACTGTTTTAAAATCCCAAATAGATAATCTCTTCTTTCTTTCTATTTTTTAGAAAATAAAAAACAACTTTACTTTGTACATTGAAAAAGATAAGTTCCATTTTAGTGAAATGTGCATAAAGATTATTTCTCAGTTTAAATAATAACAATAAATAAGAGAACCTCAGAACTATTACACTGTAATTAAATTCAATTGTATCTGCTGAACAAGAACATTGGCGTCTTCATGTATTTGTAAGAAAATTCCAGTACTCATTTTGAAAATAAATGTTTAGATTGTGGTTTAAAAAATTCAGTTTAGATTTATTAAGCAATTACATATAACAATACCTAGAATAGTGCTTAATTTATAGTATTTGATGAAATAAGATAGTTCATTTCCCCCTAATCAATGAAACTTAGGCAACCTTTTCTCTTTCTTTTCTGATCTCCTTAGTTGTCAGTTCTGGATATTGTTTATCTGCATATTCATGTGTATATTTTTTCTTTGCTGAATGCAAAAAGGACTCTTCCACTTAATTAAAAAAGTAATAGCTTTGCTATTAAAATTAAATAATAGAAAATTTTATAAAATGGACTATGATCATCTAGCTCTTTTCTTTTTGTTTGTATCAATTAAATATTTTTAAATGTCTACATCATTAATATACTTATTTATTTCAAAAACCTACATGCATACATACATGCACACACACAAAAAGCATTTCCATCATTTTATACAATGTTCATTCAGATTCCTCAATACATTAATTTCTTTCTTTGATCTTCATTCCTTCTTGTATCTCAAAAACATGTTAGTATTTTCTTAAAGCAGTTTGCTGGTTTCAACTTCCTTCAATTTTTCTTTCCTAAAAATATCTTTATTTTACCTTTCTTCTCTTTTAAATTTATTTTTATTGTATTTTTTCCATTACCATTTATCCCCCTTATACCCTCTTCCACCTCCATCCATCTGCCTTCCCTAATCATCTAGCTTCTTTAGTCTCACATGACAAAGTTACCACAATTATATGTTTACTTTGCATATTTGTGAATTTTTCCTATGTTTTAAAAAAACACAAAACAATACTGATTTTAGATAGTCCCAACAATTGGCTTCCTTGGATCCATGCTCTTGTCCCTGACTGCAGGCTGGTGTTATGACTTGGTTTAGGCCAACATGATGTGGTAGTGGGACATTGTGTAATTCTGAGCCCAGGTCTTTGGAAGCATTATGAATCTCTCCCTCATGACCACCTGAGCCTCCATGAAAATAAGTCTGCTCTAGATAGCTGAAAGATAAGAAACATCACATAGAGAAGAGCCCAGCTGTGTCAGCCGAGGTTACCTCACCCTACATCACATTTAAGCCAAATGCTTTTCAAACATCTGAGAGATCCCAGTTATTTCACAGAGCCCCAAATCAAGGAGTTACTTAAGTGTTCATGATATTAAAACAAAACAAAACAAAACAAAACACTCAGTGGACTAGCAGATGTGGATATGCTGTTTATAACTCACATACAGGGGAGTGCACCAATGCCAGCGGATTGATGTGAGAGAGACCACACCTCCTCTAGACTGAAGGTCATTATAAGGGGTCTAAGACAAAGGTAGTGTGGGTCCAGGTTGCACAGATCTATGTGTGGCCTGGAACTACATTACATGAGTGTGTATGTGCAGATGGAAAGGGTCAAGAAGCTATCACAGGACAAGAAACCACTCCCAAAAGAAGAAAAGGAAGGAGTTACAATCCATTCCCAAAACAATACAGATTTCTTCTCACCAGAGGCCCTCTGACTACCCTCAGTCACATGAGGGAGAAGGGCCAGGTATTGACACCACACCAACATCAGTGGAGATACCTATCCTATATGCAGGTGATCTCAGACAAATGGGTGATGCCAGAAACAAGAAGACCCACCCATATGACTGGTTAACTTGTGAACCATAGTAAATACCTATTGATATAAACTATTAAGTTTTGGAGTAGTTTGTTATTCAGCCATAAATAACTGACAAATATATACTTACCTATGCCTTTTTTCCCATAGTATCAATAATGTGTTTTTCCAAATTTGACAACAGATGAAAATACTTATAAAAGTCAAAACTCTAAGAACTATCTCAATTTTTGATGATTACATGGTATTAAAAGAGTTTCCAGGTTATACTTTTAGAATATTTTATGAAATTAATAGATATACAACACAATTAATCCAGTAGTACTGAAAAGAGCATAATGAAAAGCATATTCCTCAGTACAACTCTTTCCATTTTTAATCCCACATCCTACATTTCATTTCTCTAAAATATTTTTGTTTTTTTGTTTTCTGGTGCTAGTCTTCAGAACTCTCAATAACATGCTTATTTTATCTTCTTATTTCCTGATATTAAATTGAAACAATGTCTTTGGTACTTTATACAAAAAAGAGATGTAGTTTTCTTACACTGCCTCACCTCTACCAGCTCTACCTAAAATTTGATGATTTGATTTGAATTATTTTCTTGATTAATTTTTCAATACTAAATAGCATTTAACCCTCATTTTTTCTTCCATCAGTGTTGCTCAGTAACAATTCTCCTCTATGTAAGTTGATGATAGTTGCCTACATACAATTCCCTCCATCTTTTCTCACCTCCAATTATACCACCATTTTAACCTATATTTTATTTTACATTATTAAAATTATTAAAATTTTCATTCAATTCTTTATTCACTACCAAGTCTCCTGTGCTCTGTCCATGCAATAACTAAATGTTATTGCAATGAAAAACATGTATATTAGTATTGGAGATATCTCTATTTTATATCTATATATAGATATAGATATATGTAGATATATAAATAGATTCTGTATATATATATGTATCTATATATAGTCTGTCTGGCAAAGTGATACATTAGTACTACATATCCTTCTCTTTGAGCCCAATCTCACAAATATTTTTCCATTCAGAGAAGAATATTTCTAGTCTCAATATCTACCAACTTACCATTACCTGGTCTCATGTAGTTGGGCTTCATTCCTGCAATTCTATCTAAGGCTAAGCCATAATTGTTTATTCTATTCCTTCACCCTCACTTAGTCAAGAACATCCTTTAACAATGGTCCCATTGCTCTTGCATCTCATTGTTTTCCCCCTTAATTATTTCATTGCTATAAACATAAAAAACACTATAGTTCCTCTTTATTAAAAAGAACTCACTTGATCCAATGACAATATTTCGAATGTCTAGTAGTCCTCTCCATTTTGGCATTCCCTACCACCTTTAAGAGTATAATCCTATTTTATTTGAATTATTAAAGCTACTTTCATCCTTCCAGTTATTCAGAGTAGATCTTTCTCAAAACTTTATTCAATTTTGTGGCTTTTCCTTCAAAACATGAAGGTTGTTCACTGCCTTCACTTCTTGCATCCTGATCTTGCATCCTACCATCAAATCTGAATTTTTGCAATAGCCTTCTAAGTATTCTTTCTGCTTCTCATGAGTCCCTATTATTGTCATTTCATCTTAACCTTATAGCTAGAGTGATACTCATAAAATATAACTCCAATAACTAGTTTTATTCTTCTGCTCATAATTTTCCAATAGTTTTTTAACTTTTGAGTAAAAATGAAGTCTATTACCGTAATGGTACCTTGTATGCTGTGGACGTTGGTCCCCTCACTGATCTCATGTCCTAACTTTTCCCTATGCCCTTTGTTCTCCGATTCTAGACAGACTAATTCCCTTGGTATTCCTCAAACACCCCAAGCACATTCTTATCTCAAAGCATTCTTACTTGTTTTCCCTCTGTCTGGACTGTTCACCCTTAACATATCTCATAGCTGGTTATACCTCTTTCTTCAGGTTTCTTCTGATGATAAATTATGTGTTTATTTTATTTTTGTCTATTAACTCGCTCTTCCCTGTTAGGCTTCATATTTTCATGACTTTTCAAAGACAAAGGCTTTGCTTTTTTTTAGATAGCAAATTCCTGATATAGAGTCAATTTTTAATATTTGAGGTTGATTAAATGAATGGATCTTTTGTTGATTATGTGCATTATAAGAGATTCTTCCCCTGGTTTCTACAGCTTGTCTCTTTTTTCTATCTACCATCTATAAATTCACTTTTATTTTTATTTTTTAAGTTTTTTCAAGGTATAGTTTATAAATTAAACATTGCATTTATTTAATGTAAACATTTCAATGAGCTTTGAAGTTTGACTACACTCATGATACCATCACCATGAAGTTTAACATTGTACACAGTGCTCTTAAATCTTATCATAAATTTATTTACAGGTTTCTTTATGCAATGTGCTTTCCAAACCTTATTGGAAAATTCCTCTACATGAATCATATAAAGATACTTTCCTATATTTTTTCTCCTAACAACTTTCAAAAAATTATTTTCACCTTTTGGTCTTTACTGAATCTGGAATATTCTTTTGTGTATGGCTTGAGGTACAAAATATGTGTGTTTTTCTACAAAATAATTTCTTGAATCATTTATTATTTTACTTGTGCAGCATGCCATGTTTTATATTGTTCATTCTAGCCTTTGCATACTTTCCTGTGTATCTATTTGTCTACCCATGTGCTAACTGATGTAACTTTACATTATGTCATGATATCATGATTTGTGTTCAGGTAATTTCTCACCACTTTTTAACTATTTTTTCTAAGCTATTATTACTTATTTACCTTCTAAACAAATAGTATAAGTGAATTGTCAAGTTTAAGAAAATACCTCATTAGATATTCTTTGGCATTCTATTGTGTTTATAGATCAATTTGGGTGAAAATAGAAAATTTTACA